CAATAATAATCTCTTCTGTTTCAATATTATCATCAATATGAATATAATCGTTGGCTAGTATTACTTGCATGCTATTGATAGAAATATTAGAAATAAGTTGTTCAATGTCAATTTCTATTCTTGTATTTTCATGTTGTTGTACATCCAAACTTGGCCAATTCAACTCGATTAATGGTACTATTTTGGTTTTTCGCTAGCAATTAACAATCGTCTGGGAAGTTACATTTCTCCATGCTTCTGAAGTAAATCCAATTGCTTCCTTGACGTTGAGATGAGGTATTTGTTCTCCAATATCCATGGCTTCCAAAACACTTTGAAGATATAACTTTTGATAATAAGATTTAAATGAGTTTATTATTCCAGCATCACATGGTTATAAATAAGGAGTAGTGTTAGGTGATAGAAAATGAACTTTTACATGTTCCAATTCCTCATTAACTATATGAGAAGTGGCATTATCAACCAAGACAAGAATTTTTTTGCATTTGAGATGATTGATAGTATTTAGAGACTTTATCCAATGTCCAAAAATTTCGCTTGTCATCCATGCTTTCTTGTTGGCTTCGTATTTGGCACCGAGATTCTCCTTTTAAATATTCTTGAAATACTGAGGATTTGCTGATTTTCCAATAACTAGCGGCTTAAGTTTGTCTGTACCGGTTGCATTTGTGCAAAGCAAGACGGTTATCCGCTCCTTATCTTTCTTTTTTCCTTTGACTGGCTTGGTGATAAGTGTCTGATTAGGTGTTATTCGAAAAAAAAGGCCAGTTTCATCAGTATTATAAACATCCTCTGGCTGGTATTGCGAAAGCAATTCAATCAATTTCTATCTTTGCTCAGGAAGATTTTTGATTGGTACACTCTCTGACTCTCCGTGAATTTTAAATTGTCAAATATCATGTCATTTCTTGAACCTATCAATCCAACCATGACTTGCCTTGAAGTCAACCTCTGATATATTTAGCAATTCGGCAAATTTTCTTGCTTGAAGTTGCAGAAGTCCATTTGTCAATATTTTATTTTGTAAAAAAACCTGACAGGTCCAAATGCTCAGAGCATCTTCCAATTGTATGAACTTCACTGATCTGTTAGCCATTGTTTTTGATTCATAATCTGTAAATTCTTTCAATAATCACTCATATTTTGCCTTCAAAATCTTTTAAACTGTGCTTCGGTCACAACCATATTCTTCTGAAAGTTCATCGATAGTGAGGGATGGATTGGCTTCTTTTCGTTGGCACATTTCTTGTTTTGACTTTATAGTCAAATGCATTCACTTCTTTCGTGGTCGTTCTAATTTCTTATTTATAGTTGTCATTTTGTTGTTGTTGGAGAATATGCTGGAAGGCTTGTCGGAAGTTAAATTTGATCAGACAACGGGTATTGAAGTGTGAATTTGAGTGCAGAATTTAAAGTTTGGTGTCAGAAATATAGAATTTAGAAAGTGGGTAAATAAAATAAGATACAGCCTGTACAAAGAAAAATTTGATATAAAAAGATGAGATACTAATTTAGTAAAATTGATGGCTTATTTAGCATCCACTATTTGTTCTATTACAAGATTTGAAGATAATCGGAAAAAGGAGAAAAATAATAGCGATAATAATATTGAAACCACAGGTAAGAACTTTGTTATTTTTATTTATTCTGATCAAGCATTTCTCTCAGACATTCGAGAGTACTTTTATATATACAGTTTTTGGATCACTACACTAATTCTAAGGTTAGTATCTTTACATTAATCATTTCTTTTGAAACTTTCTAAAAACAATTAGATAATGTTTTTTCAATTGTTCAGATAATTATTCTTCAGATCATCATGATCATTACACGCATTATATCCTTTTTGATCACTATTATTATGTATATTATGTGTTTTCAATTGTTCAGATATTTGTCATTCTCCAGAAATTCACTTGTTACCATTATATTGAAGAATGATGAATATTCATGAAATAGGAAAAAAAAGGTAACGTCCATTCATAATAAAATATTTCCAAATTTAGCTTATAACAAAACTAACTTTAGAAGGATTATTGTGTAGAGATTATCAAGGGAAATTAGGAAAGGATATTCATGTAAAAAATTAAGAAGTGGAAAATTGTGGAAGTAAGGAATTTAATGTCGCTACAATAATAGTTTGAAGGGCTGTGACTATGTGAACTTTATAGTATGAGTAATCGATTCTCAAATTTTAATCGATTTTATAAAATTAATCGATTCTAAATTAATCGATTCGTATTCCTAGAGGGAGGTGTATATAGTTAAAGTTCGATAAAGTGAATCCACGATAAAGTGAACTCACGTTATAACGAAGAATTTTCAGAAACTAACCTATTAACAAAGAGCTTGATATAATGAAGAATAATATAAATAGCACTTTATAATGTTAAGCGAAGTTTATTTATGAATAACCTGAGACCTTCGGTTTAACTGTATACGTGTACAATAGAATGTGTGACTAGACATATCGATATGGATTTTTGGATCTGGCACAACATCCTGAAAACCATAATCCCGACAAGTCATAAATTTATGGATGATGGTCTTTGCAGATTCGTAATGCTAACAGTTTATTATGAACAATATTGTGAAAAGGATTTTTTCTGAACTTATTTCCCACATAATCATACGTAAACGTCCATTGTCTAGAAGTATGAACCACAATTACTCAATAACTCTGGTGCCATATAAGGGGATGTGCTCCCTTAATATTATTAATACAATCTGTTTCGAATTCATAAACTGAAAGACCTATCTCTCCAATATAATAAAGACTATTATTATAGGAAATATTTTGCACGTTCCCTGGATGAAGAAACGAATCAATTATAAATTAATATGTAAATGTTTATTAAATTGAATAATATCACAACCTGACAAATGAAATCTCAAATGAACAGCATACTGAAAGGATGAAATCTCGAATGAACAGCATACTGAATGAATGAAATCCTAAATGCACGATATACCGAATGAACGAATGAATGAATGAATGAAATCCCGAATACACAGCATTCCAAATGCATGAATAAATAAAATTCCAAATACACAGCATTCCAAATGCATGAAATCCCGAAAGAACAGCATCCCGAATGAACGATATACCCATACCAAAAGCACGAAATCCTGAATGCACGGCATCACGCATACACAAAATCACACATTTACTAATATTCCCCCAGGTTTCTGATTAGATGCAAGTAATTTCCATCACTGATTGATTGACTGCACACTGGGTTTTCTAGATTAACCAAAACAAATCTGACACAAGAAAATTAAAAATGCGAATAATGTGAAATATACGAAAAATCTGGCTTAAAGCACTAATCAAAAATGTCAGGAGGCAATTTTACGTATAACCTTATCCTCGACTCTAATTTAACACTAAAATTAACCTTTAATATCCTCAACCAATCAGAAATCTAGCTGGAAAAATTAGTAATGCGTGATTTTGTGCATTCGGTATGCTGTGCATTCGGTATATCGTTCATTCGGAATGCTGTTCATTCAGGATTTCGTGCTTTCAGTATGCTGTGCATTCAGTATTTCGTTTGTTGGATGTTGAATGTCACCCAGATTTTATGCAGCGATAAATAACATGTGATACTGTATACTGTACATACTATACACATTAAGAATGGGATAAATTTATAATGTTTCCACACACAGAAAAGTGAATTTTATGACACAATAAAATTTTTATTATATTGATGTTGATATCAGCGGGGTACATATAATTAAGAGTGAAAATCTGATTATGTTGATAGTGATATCAACGGGATATAATATCAAAGTTGATATATGCGGGGGAATTTTTATAAGGGGAAATCCGTTCTATAACCAATGTTGCTAATAGAGGGATGTTGATATTAGCGAGGTTGATATTAGAGAGGGCAGACTGTATTACAAATCCACTATTTCATGGTATTATTGAAATTAATATTCAAGTTTTCTAGAAATATTTTTTAAAAGGTCTGCATAAAAATAGTAAACTTTTCATTAATTTCAGACAATTATACGTAGTTAAAGACGCAAAAATACGTATAGTGATCATTTACATGCGTATTACTATAGAAATTACTATAGAAAATTGCAAGAAAAATTATCTTTGCTTCTATTGCAACTACGCGACATTTATAATATTATTGCTTCCCAAAGATAAGTTTTAACTATACGAGTTTCATTTGTATTTTTTTTGAATTTACATATATCGATATTATCGATACTAAAATAAATATAATAATAGTTTTTTAATAAAAGAACTAATTTTAAATATATTTAAATACCTTGTGATTTTATCTTCAATAAAAGAATTTATAGTATTTGATTCAAATTCGTTAAGGAGTTTTCAATAGGATTTGGTCGTAAAGATGCACAAAAAACTTGATCTGTAGGTTTTGGTCGTAATGATGCATAAAAGGCTTGATCTGTATTGGCGATCACAACGAAGATAAAATGATGATCAAATGGGAATCCGAGATTATTATTCAAAGACCAAGCCCAAAGAGTTCCTCCTAACGCAGGTCCAATAGCACGAGAAAGAGATGCTATTGTTTGTCCTATTCCATTTACAGTGCCAAGAACCTCTCGTGAAACAGTGTTTGTAATCTGTTAAATTTTATATGAAACAATCGTTTGGGATCAACTCTTATTTAGCGACGACGGTAAAATTATAAAATGACAAAATAATGTCACGAAACCAATAATTGCCAAACTGAGTGCAAGGTCTTGAGACTGATAACCAAGACCACCATTGGAAACTCGAGTTACTGCATATATGGTGTATACTGCGTCATATATTATCGAAAGAGCTAACATTCCATAGGAGACGAGAGGTGAGATATATCGTGTAGAAGCCGACAAAATTTTCAATCATCCGTTAATCTGTAAATATCGTCATTTTTCGTGCTTAATGTTGAATTATTATCAGTAGTTCGCGTTTCTCTGTTACCATTGAGAGAACTAATTCTATAAAAGATGAAGATGATCCAACGTCATCCGAGCGATTATTATGTTTCGTATAAAGTAACGGTTCACTCTCAGGCTTGTATTCAGATTTTCGATCAATATTACGCGTTTCAGGTAACATAAAATATCCAGAAACAAGTCCTATAGATGAAACTAATGACGCAACAAGACACGGCAACAAATAATGATAATATCTCCAAAAATCATTATCAAAAATACTCGAAAAATGGTCAGCAGGATGCGATAAATATCCACAAATGGTAGGTCCCAAAAATTATATAGAAACGTTGGACGATTGAAAATTATTGAGCTTCCTAATATATCTTACCGACTTATATTCATAATCAAAAAAATAAGATAAGTAATTAAACGTTGGCATAGAAAATTTCACATTAAAATATATCAAAAAAATAAATAAAAAATAAAACATTTAAGATTTCTGGCATCATACTTGTATTTTTAATATATATAAATATTGTAGCAAAAAAGTCTTAAAACGAGCGTCATTTAAAATTAGCATAAGCAATAGGATTTTTAACTTAGATTTTTTTATTGGAACCCGTAAATTTTTTATATCGGTATCATTTCTGAGCAACAAGTGGGCTATGTGCAATAGCAACAAGTGGGCTATGTGCAATAGCAACAAGTGGGCTATGTGCAATAGCAA